AAATAAATAAACCGAACGTTGTCTATAAAATTGACTGCAGAGACTGTAATTCCACTTACATTGGACAAACAAAACAATATCTACATAAAATAATAAAAACCCATAAAAATAATATCGGAACTAATAATAAAAATTCTACTGCCTTAACTAAACATGCGTTAGAAAATTTGCACTCTTTCGATTTTGAAAATGTAAGAATTCTAGAAAATTAACAAAATCTCAACAAAAGAACAATCCTTGAAATGATACATATTAAAAAAAATAACAACTTTGTAAATAATAAAACGGACAAAGATTTGTAAAACGTTTATTTTAATAATATTAAATAATTTCTTATCCTTAACTGTAACGCCACTGGTAGTTTTTTAAATTTGTAAAACTCATCTTTTTCTTTCCCTACTTTATCATTATTTCCAACCAAATCATTTCCAACCAAATCATTATTTCGAATACACTTTCACACGATGAAACAGAAAGATAGAGTTTCTCTTTTTTTTTATTATATTAAAAATTTTAATTTGTTTGTAATCGTCCTCATCTTTTATTAATTTATTACTGCACCCAAAGTTGGAAAAGTTTTTCGATACATATATAGTGTGCTAAACATTTTAAAATAAATTTAAAAAAATACCGAATAAACCAAGGAAATTTTTATTTATATAAAATTCTGCTACGGTCTAACAAATTATTCTTATTGATAATTTATGTACCCACGTTGTGATAATGTTAGTAGTATAGCTGTACCGGTTCTGGGACAGTTTGGTAAGCTGTCCATCAAGTTCTCCATGTCCATCCAGTTCTTCGGCTATGCCACAGGTAATTGAAGAAGTTACCTAAAGAGACATCTAATTAGCTGAAGAAATAACCTGTGAAGCCGAAGGTGTAAAGAACAAAGGAAAAGTGTCACCTGACGTTAGCTATTGTGACGTATGCAAGAAAGAAGAGATCAACAATGACCAGAGGCTGCTGAAACAAGTGTTGACAAGATTTACCCTGTATAATGCAAAACTTATCGCTTATCTCTTAATCTCTTCTTCTTTTCCGACTTCTGCTATAAGAATGACCCTGTAAATTCTTTTCGATGACACGTGACCAGCCTAGCCGAGCCTAAATTGTTTTATTGCGCAGAAAATAAAAGTTAAGTCAGTTTTAAAAATAATTTATTATGTTTTCAATATTCAATCGTTAAAATTTTATAATTTATTTTAGAATTGAATATCTTGATTACCAATTTCTACAAAATTTTGTTTAAATTGATTAAAATTAAATATGTATCCTCTAAATATTAAAATTTTGTTTTGAATCAAATTTTCCAACCCGTATCTTTCACAAGACATTCTGTTGTTGTTGTTGTTGTTGTTGTTGTTATTGTTTTTGTTGTTGTTGTTGTTGTTGTTGTTGTTATTGTTGTTATTGTTGTTGTTGTTATTGTTATTGTTGTTGTTCTTGTTGTTGTTGTTTTTGTTGTTTTTGTTGTTGTTGTTGTTGTTGTTGTGTTGTTGTGTTGTTGTTGTTGTTGTTGTTCTTGTTGTTGTTGTTGTTGTTGTTGTTGTTGTTGTTGTTGTTGTTGTTGTTGTTGTTGTTGTTGTTGTTGTTGTTGTTGTTGTTGTTGTTGTTGTTGTTGTTGTTGTTGTTGTTGTTGTTGTTGTTGTTGTTGTTGTTGTTGTTGTTGTATAGAGATGTTATATCAAAAAAATTTCTATCATGACCAATCACATAACCGGTAGTTTGATTTATTGAATTTCTAATTTTAGTTCCAAGTGGAAAATTATATTTATTAGAATAAAATGTTGAGTATCCAACTAAAGTTATAATATGTTGTGACATTTCATATAAATAGAATGTTCCATCTTCAATTAATAATGTATAGTTTTCTACATGAACTTGTTTAGTTCGACAGAAATGTTTTGTTACGAGAAATTGCCGAGTAGTTAGATCCATACCAAATTCCGATATAGACAATGGCAAGTAGTTAGATCCACACCAAATTTCGGTATAGACCTCTTCTGTTATGAGAGAATGCCAAGTAGATAGATCCACACCAAATTCCAATAAAGACCTCTTCTGTTACGAGAGAATGCCAAGTAGTTAGGAAATAATACGCATGTGCAACACAATATACGAGTATATATAACCTAAACATATTACTTTGTTATTAATAGTAGTTTGATACTATATGATTGTGTTATCATTAAAAATATTTTTGTTTACTGTATTCTTAGTACATTTCTGTCGATCTAAACAAGTTCATGTGGAAAACTATACATTTTTAATTGAAGATGGAACATTCTATTTATATGAAATATCACAACATAATATAACTTTAGTTGAATACTTAGCATTTTATTCTAATGAATATAATTTTCCACTTCTAACTAAAATTAGAAATACATTAAATCAAACTACCGGTTATGTGATTGGTTATCATAGAAATTTTTATCCTATAACATCTCCATACAACAACAACAGAATGTCTTGTGGAAGATACGGATTGGAAAATTTGATTCTAAACAAAATTTTAATATTCAGAGGATACAAATTTAATTTTAATCAATTTAAACAAAATTTTGCAAAAATTGGTATACAAGATATAAGTATTATATACATCTAAAATAAATTGTAAAATTTTAACGATTGAATATTGAAAACATAATAAATTATTTTTAAAACTGACTTGACTTTTATGTTCTGCGCAATAAAATAATTTAGGCTCGGCTAGGCTGGTCACGTGACATCGAAAAGAATTTACAGGGTCATTCCTATAGCATAAGTCGGAAAAGAAGAAGAGATCAAGAGATAAGCAATAAGTTTTGCATTATGCAGGGTAAATCTTGTCAAGACTTGTTTCAGCAGCCTCTGGTCATTGTTATTCTCTTCTTTCTTGCACACGTCACAATAGCTAACGTCAGGTGACACTTTTCCTTTGTTGTTTACACTGCGGCTCCACAGGTTACTTCTTCAGCTAATTATATGTCTCTTTAGGTAACTTCTTCGATTACCTGTGGCATAGCCGAAGAACTGGATGGACATGGAGAACTTGATGGACAGCTTACTAAACTGTCCCAGAACCGGTACAGCTATACTACTAATGTTAATTAAGATAAAACAGGATTTGATGCAGTTTGGTTGCAAATCGGTATATTTCATTGCTACTATTTACTGAGATCTCAACTGAGTCCTGCTCAAATGCGAACCACGTCCATTATCTATTAAGATATATTCAGCTTGATGGCCAACGGAGTTAAAGAACAGCGCCAATTCGTCAGTTGGTTAACTTACTGTGTTAATGTTTATATTATAACCTAGATATACGTAGGATCGTACCCTCTTAGGTACTTATTTAGACGTCTATATAAGTAATTACCAACAAAGGTAATAAACAGCGCCAATTCGCCAGTTGATTAACTTACTTTGCTGATTTTTACATATAATTTATGGTTTAAACCTAGTAGAATTGGTGTCTATGTGTACCCCTTGAGCTAACAAACAGTGTCCATTCACCAGTGGAATAACTTACTAATACATTTAACCATCTAGGTTTAGGTTTGCATTATTTATCCAAGATAATACAACCCTGTACATCTGTAAAATAATGATATTTATAATTTCTATTAAAACGACTTAAATTCAGCCTTAGAATAACAGATGTCTAACCTGTCTTTTAGGGTGAATGCCCGAAGGCCATGTGGTTTATTCGGTTACATTGATAATATTTTAAAGCAAATGTTAGGCCCTCTTTTAAACGAAACCCCGGTGGTGTCCTTAAAAAAGTAACATAAACCTTTTTGACTCACCATTGAATATACATATTAAAAGTAATTTTAAAAACCGACTTCTAAATCGTGCAGATGCCATCAACACATCTTGACCAAATTTATATGGGACCACCCTTGAGGTTACCGTTTACTAAAAAATCATAGAAATCGGACAAGGTAGTAAAGAATTTTTGATAAACATACATAAAAATGAAGAGTTTGAGGATTTTCAATTATTATATTTTAACTAAATTTATAAGGGACCACCCCTGAGGTACCCCCTTTCTAACAAAAAAAAAATCATTGAAATTGGAGAACGTATTAAAGAATTATCGCTGAACATACATAAGAAAAATATATTTCGATGAATTGAGAACTTCTTCTCCTTTTTGAAATCGGTTAAAAATAAAATAAATTAAAAACAAAATAGAACAGTTATAAGAAAATATCTAAATTTTAGAACTTCTGTGTCATATTACATAGCTAACTCAATATTCACCTCTAATAGACGCAAGGCATTCTTTCCCTTTGACGATAGATTTGTTTATTATATTTTATCTAACGATAACTTATCTACCTTACCGGATTAGGAATAAGTTTATGCACAAAAATAATTGGTTTTTACCAACGGCGAAAAATTACTAGATTAATTCATTCATTCTTAACTAATTTCATTTATTGCAAGAATTCAAATTATATTAGGCAAAAAGAGCTGTCGCGTCGGCTGTCTCATTAGGAAATGCGAGACTGCTGCTAAATTAAGTGGGGATTGTCTGTAGGAGCTTGTTTATCTGAGTTGCGAGCAGGCGTTTTATGAATGAATCAGGTGGTACTACTATTGTTCTTACTTTACACTGTTGTAACACTGTAAACAATTGGTAAACTTTCTTGTAAATCACCTTAGTCTATTTCTTTAAAGATTTTTGTGCGTTTTGGAGCTTTAGGTTTTGTTAATTCCAAATTATAGCCATAAACAATCCTTATAAGAATATTCTTCTAAGAGAGTGTACCTTATAATAATTTGGCAACTACGTATATTACACAGTGAAAAAAAATTAGCCTAGTAGTTGTTCGTTGTTGGTTTCTACGGCAAATGTCCTAAATTATTATTAAAAAATTAATATATTTCGAAGAAAATTGTAATATTTAAAATAAAATATTTTGTAGGTATTTTTTTAATTATGAGTTACTTTGTCAATTTTTTGTATCTCTTTAGGTAACCTTTATGTTTCCTTTTATTTTTAGCTGAATGGGACTGTAAGTTTGAGGAATATAAAGACTTTTTTGACAAAAGGCAGCTTGAAAGAGTAAATGAGGCTTTACGCCCGCAACAGAACAAGAGTGACGATTTTGACGAACTTGGATATCAAGGAAGTTTTAAAAAACTGGATGTTGATTAGCCGAAAAAAAAATACTATTTTTATTTATTATTACTGTTCGCATTCATGTTAATAAATGTGAAATGTTACCAGTTTTTTTTTAATTTCTTATTTTTTGTGACGGTAAATATAATTTTAGATATTACTTAAAACTTTATATTTAGATAAAGGTAAATGGTGTTAACGCTGTTTCTCAATGACAAGTGCGTCAATTAATATGAAAAATATTTGTAGCGCCATCTCCTGAAAATGAGATAAAAAACCACCAATCAGTTATTTAGGTAATTTTCTAACGGGCAATTAAAATTCTGCAAATGTGTACAAGTGATCTTAATTTCCTTAAAAAAAAAAATTTAAAAAATCAATAGATTATAACATTAATTTCGTTATATTAAGTTTGTAGGTTGTCCCAGATGTCAACCATGTGGCTCCAGTTAACTCAAGTGGAGATGGGAGTGGGTAATCACAAAAATCTGGGATTACTAATATATTATCAAAAAAGGGGGGCGCCAATTAGATTTAGCTGAGCCTTAAATAACTTAGAACGATCATCTCTTAAATCTAATAAAAGATGAGGGAATAAAAGACAACCTTAACTTACACTTCTTTATTTTATAAAAATAAACTATTTTTCCCTCTTCAAATAAGCAGTACGTAATACAAAAACCAGTTAAATGGACTAACTAAGTGATTTAGCCTTATTCTTTACTTTAGTTATAAAATTAACAAATTAAACCTGTTAGAAAGGAAAGTGTGACACAAAACCTTATGATGTAGGTGTTTCCCTAAAACTACCTATCTAGTAACTAAAATTCCCGCAAATGTAAAGAATTAAACATATATGTATATCTTTAAGTAAAAGATATAACGTTCTAACTATTTAATACAGAAACTACACGAAAAATTAAATCATAAGTTTCTTAAAGCGATTACTATGTAATTTTATGCGTCGTTAGCATTGGATCCAAGGCGAAGGACTAAAATGCGCAAAAGGGTGAAATTTTGACGGCCAAAGCAAGCGTTAGTTTCTGTTGTACATTAACGTACCAACAGGCATAAAATAAAATTAAAAATGAAATTGTTAAACATTGAAGTGTATGTTAAATAAGAAAAGGTTTCGTTGCATATAAAAAAAAGAAAACAAAAGAAAATAATTAACTTAGCTGCTCATTCTGCAGCTCCCAGAATGACACTATTCTTGAGCCCATCTTCATGCTTTCCATCTGCACTTCTCAGAGTATGGTGATGTTGCGAGCCACAGCTCGATGATAAGGAAAATACAGTAAACTAACTGTATCCCGTAATGTGCACCCTAAAAAAAGGTACACCTTAATTTAGTATAAAGTAACTAAGAATGTACATACATTCCTCCAAGTGACTATATATATATATAACAATTATTAACATCCCTTAATAGTGAACAATACAAAACCCTAGAATGATAATTTAATATGTATAGTACCCAAAAATAAAATAAATTCAGCGCTTAGCTGGAATAAAACTAGGTTATTGTGACCAAAACAGAATAAAACTAAATAAATTAAATTACCTCTTTCGCGAGGGCGGTGGGCATATAAATGCCGGTCACATTTCCTAAGTTAGGAGAGGAGAGTTTCCAAATAATTACTCCACCAATCCATAACACCATGCACAAAATATCCAAATACATCAGACTGGAGAAACCCGAATCCAGTGGCCAAAATAGAATGTTGAAAACCCCAAGAAAATCTCCTCGAACACGAGCTAGATAGTTGAACACCAAATTCTTCTAAACCAATTTCCGAACAAAATATTGTTCTCACACAACTACTTAGAATACAAGCTACGCCTTTACAAAATCCCAAACTTGGATGGCACAAATTAATCAAAATTACCATATAATTATTATTTAGGCACAACTTTTAGTTCTTGTGGCTTCAAAACGTCTATCGCTTTTTTTCTACGCAAAAAGCTTCAAGAAAAATCAGTTTCTCGAAAAATTCGTCGTTGTCGCTGCGCAAGACATCCAGAAAATTCGCTTCCTTAATAGCCAATCAAATGGAATAATAATACCATTTCAACAAACTAACATACCTATACTAACCAATCACAACACGTAATATAAAAATCAATATCTGTAGTACAGACTAACAGACCTCTATTGACCAATAAGAATTAACATTCACAAAACCTCTATTAACCTGAAACACTAGAATAAACCAAATCACAATAATAATTTACTCACGTAATGTAATCCTACTGTTACAAGAAATGAGAAACATATATAAATCTGATATAAAACATTACAATAAAACTAAAATAATAATTACATTTTGCACGAAACTACAACTCGGTGCAGTCCCAGTGCACAAATTACGCGAACAAAGCGTTCCGTGTCAACGAAACTTCAACCTACCTGTTGAATATTAAATGTCAAAATAATGACAGTAGAAGTACAAAATAAACATTATATTGTCAATAATAATTGAAATATTAATTTAAAATATAAACAGTGATGTTACTACTAATATATAAATTGAGTTCAAAAGGTCAGAATCCCTAAAATAAAGGTGATACTAAGCAAGTGTCAAAAACTAACCGAAAACAAACTGTAAAGGGTAGTGAAAATATCGACACTGCGGTCAAAATCGAAGAAAATCTGCCTCCAAATGCAAAATATACATAAAGCAAAGTATTTAAGAAATGAAATATATCTTAGAAATGAAAATATGATTTAATGATGTCTCAAGAAGTGTTATAAAATAAACAAACATGATGTAGTTAACATGAATTGCTTTAAAAAGTATCTTAATCAAAACAGGACTAATTTAAGGTAAATAATAGATTCTAAATAGTATACACGTAGTTATTTAAACGATTTTCTATTCATATATATATATATATATAACTTAACAGTTTTGGAGGGTAGAAATAAAGTATTTGAGTTTAAATTAAATTTTTGAAAACCTTAGTTCGTTGGTTAAAATAAAACCGTTACAAGATTGCATCGGGTTTTGCTATTTTGACATAAAAATAAACAAATCTAAACCACTTTATTCTCATTAAAATGTAAAAATTCAAAATTAATTATTTATTTATGATGAGTAGCTATATTTCCAATTTTCAATTTCCTACCTTTAAAAAAAGGATATTCCCATACACATTTTCACCCCTCGTTTCCCCCTTAAAATGTGATGTTTATAAAAATCTGTTTTTAGTGGTTGTCTAAGTTGAGAAAGGAGTAACTATGCCAAATTTCAAGTCAATCGGACTCATAGTTTTGGAGATCTCACTAAGTGGTATTTTGCTTTTAGAGGGTTACTATAAAAAAACAAAGGCTGTGAGATGAGTATTGCGAAACAAAATTTAAAATAAATTTTAAAAAAATTAAAGAAGCAAATTCTGTTTCTAGAGGTAGATGGATAACCGAGAAGTAAAAGAGAGTTTTATTTTTGTACTTAAGTATTCAAAGTGCCCAGTTTTGGTATTAGTGAGTACTTTTATTCAGTTAAGACTTTTTTCAGTACTTTACATTTTAGAGTACTCAGTCGCAGTACAATAATTTGTTATTTTAAGTTTTTTTTTACAGATCGAAAGCGCGCTCTAGCCAATAAAGAGAATTAATCTGATGTCGAAAGTGAACCCGAATATCAAGATGATGGTTCTCACAATGACGATACGAGCTCCGAAGTATCTGTTTATAAAAGTGTTGCCTCCGAGGTAGATGACGTTTAAATTGTTTATGATAACGTTGTCGAAGCAGAGGTTTTATTTTCTGAGCAATTTACTAGTAGACGGACATTAACCAACCTGTAATTAACTTACCAATTAGCATTTATCATTAGACGTGCTAAAGACGCAATGTTACATACCTGAAATAATAAAAAATGCCATGTTAATTGATATATAAAAACAAAATAAAAGGCTCAATCAATAAAGTTGTTCTACTACTCAGAAAAGTACTACAAGAACCTATAGATGCCTTTTCACTTTTTTTTTTATAACTAAATCATAGGAGACATTGTAAATATACGAAAATAGAGGCCCACAGGTAGAGTTAGTTCTAGATTGCGATTTTATTGAAATACAAGCCTTTTGGGTTTTCTTATAACAGCTGGTCATCTAAAACAAAATAATGCAAATTACGAAGTATTGTGGAACCCTGTATATGAACGATCTAGCTTCAGAGCTACTATGGGAATATCTAGATTCAAAAAACTGTTGAAAATTTGCAGATTTGATGACAAAGAAACAAGAAATGACTGGAAGGAAACAGAAAAATTGGCACCTGTAAGAGATGTATAGAACCAGATAAATCATAATTTGAATAAATACTACATTCCTGGTGAAAATCCTTCTGTTGATGAGCATTTAGTTTCTTTCAGGGATCAATGTCCATTTGTTTAGTACATGCCTGCAAAACCGGAAAAATATGGAAAATTTGGTGGCTGTATGATTCTGAAACTTTTTACCCGTTGAATGGAATGCCGTACAGTTTATTTTTTATTTTTTTAGTTTAATAGACTTTTTATAAATTATTACATTTTACTAGGACATTTAATTTTCCTATTACCCTGCTATAGGAGTTATTATCCTTTTTAAGGTGGTATGAACTGATTACAATAAGTAACCTAGCTAGGCTATTTTCCTAAGTTGTCGTGTGGACTTGTGCGACAGGTTCTATTCCCCGAAAATAACGCAAATTTTGCTACTTCCAACCTCGTAAATGGACAAGTCCAAGTATAAAGTGGCGAATATGATTTAGGGAAAGCACGAAAACCTAAATCACGATACTGTAAAAATATTATAAATTCTAGTTATAAGATGCCTAAAGGGGCTGATTCCAATAGATTCTGGAGTTCAGCAGTAAGGGGGAGGTCTCGGGAGTCTGAAAGTAGTATTAGATTTTGTGGTGGAATTTTCTTTGCGTTTTTCGAAAAAGAGGGAGTCGGCGTGGGCGCCATGGGGGTTTTAGTGTGTCTTGGGAGTATGCGTTGGCGCCTTTCAGCGTGCGAGAGACGTATTGTTTTATGAGCGTTTAAAAACGTGTGAGGATGGGGGTGTTGGAGATGTTTTCGAAGACTTCTCCGCTGCGAGAGCGATATGAGAGGTACGTCTGAGTACATATCATTCGCGTGTGGTGAATTTGTAGATAAGGTGTGTGGGAAGTACGTTGTAGGGTACAGCTTTGTACTCGGCAACGGGGCGGATAAAGGAATTATAAATGTGAATTAGGGTGTTTGTATTGCAACACCCCATTCGTCCGCACAAAGCCCCAAGGGAGACAGGACGGAGCCCTGTGGGATGCCAGCAAGTGGGTTAAATGTGTCTGACAGGAAGTTGCCCACTTTGATGGTGATTTTTCTTTCACTATCAGTTTGGAGATTTGGAGGAAGACCTATGTTCATAAGCTTTTGACTAGTGCCAGACTTGGTCGAAGGCTTTTTGAACGCCTAACGGCAGACGAAATTTGTTGGGAATGTACTGCAGTGACCGCAGTAGTGTGTAGGGAGGAAATTGCGTCCTGTGTGGTGAGGTCTGAAACCATGTTAGGATTGAGATGTGATATTTCTTTCTTCACAAAATTCCCAGATTCTTTCATTGAGCAGAAGCTTGAGGAGTTTCCCTAGGACTGATATGAGAGAGATGTGTCTCTATCAATTTACGGTTTTGGGGTCCTTGCCTGGTTTGGGGATCAAAATGATGTTAGCAGATTTTCAGGCAAGTGGAAAATAGGAGAGGAAGAGACAGGAGTTAAGGAAAGATGGTTTTAGGAGGATGATTCAGCATTCTTCTGTGTATGGGATTAGGCCAGGAGGCAGTGTTTTTGCCTGCTTGGTAGTTATATTTGATGTGTTAGATGGTGAATGGGGAAGTGAGGGGGTTTTCGACATCCAAAGGTGGGACTAGAGCGGCAAGTGTCCGAAGGACGAATTGTTTGGTCTCGTGTTTGAATTGTTAGTCAAAGTGGGGGTTGTCGGGGGTTCTGAAGGTGGCTTTAAGGTGAGTTTTGTGAACTAGGGTTTTTTTTCTCGGGGGTTAAGTGGATTAGTCCGTCGATTTGAAGGTCGGAGTGAGTTTTGGATTTTTAAACTGTGATGAATCGGAATTTGTCCCAAAACATGGAACCGTCCCTATGATCCAAATTTAAAGTGGTATTGATCCATAGTTGTTGTTGGTATGGAGCCTGATTAGAGCGTTTAGGCGATTCTACTCTGTTTTGATGACTGGGTCGTACAAAAAGTTTGGCGACTTATATAGTAGAATCCTTCTGTGAACCGTATTTACACACGCATCGGAATATTACTTTACTATTTACTTTAATATTTTACCGAATATGTATTGGGAATGGTATTAAAAACCAAAGGAATTACAATTGTAGGCCCAATTTGCAAAAATAAAAGATTTATGCCAAAAAATATTCTACAAACAGAAAGTTGTGACGTAAATCCAACTATTTTTGGATTTATCAAAAACTTCACTTTTTTATCCCATGTACCTAATCCTCGAAAATGTTTACTTTTATTATGCAGCATGCAATATACACCGACAATTGATAGAGACAAACCAGAAATAATAACCCACTACAATAAAAGAAGAGGCGCCATTGTTGTTGCTTTAGATCAACTTGTACATGAGTACGTGGTAAAAAGAAAATTCAACAGATGGTCGTTTGCATTGTTTATAAATGGTATAGAATGCTGGTAGCTTCCTTTATAGTATGGACCAAAACCTATCCAAAATAAAATAAAAATAAATAATAACTATATGTTTATAACTAAGGTTGCAAAAAGTTTAGTAAAACCTCATATTCTTAGGGAAAAACCCCAAAAACACACCGGGTGTGTCAATAGGGCTATGGACCATGTGTCAAGTAAATAACAAGCTAATTAATCTGCAAGTTATCTGGATTCTGGGCATGCAGAGAAACGGAGATGTCACATTTGTCCCTCAAGAAATCCAGACTACAAAAACACATTTTGTTCGAACTTTAAAAAAATGTATTTAACGAACATTCATGTGTTCAACATTTTTGTTTTAAATACAATAAAAAGTAGTAGTTAAATATTAAATGTTTACATTTTTTTAAGTTAAAAGTATATCAGTTATTTATTTCCCTTTAAAAAATGGTATCCGTTTGTGTTATAAACATTATGTATCCGGACTAGGCTTAAAAAAAATATAATTTAACATAGCCCTATGAAATCGGCCGCTAACTTAATTTCCGTAAAAAGTGGATTTTGCTCCAAAGCTCTTCAATCACAGGTCTACAATGATTTTGGTGCCGCTAAAAGTAAAACTGATTTCAAGTACATTTGGTACCCTGATAAAAACTTAATACTTACTTTTTTAATGCTACGTGTCGTTTTCGAGATTTCGCAAGGGTAAATAAATTATAAAGCATTTAATTAATTAATTTAAAAACAAAAGAACATTTAATTCAAAACATTTAATTACACATTATTTTACAGGTTAGAAGCTTCTCTTTTTAGATTTTCTCCGATGGATGTTTTCTAGACATTCCCGTGTGATACTCCAACAGTAATCTGCCATCATGTGCTTATCCCAGCGACCTTGATATCTATCTTCCATCACCTTTAAATCTTGGTGGAAACGTTCTCCTTGTTCTTCGCTATAGGCACCAAGATTTTCAGGAAAATTATCTAAATGATTGTCCAGATAGTGGACTTTTATGCTCATATTACATCTAAGATTTTTAAAATTAATTAAGAGTTTTTGAACTAACTCTTCGTAATTTTCGGCCTTCTGATTTCCTAAAAAAATTTTTATAACGGCAACAAAAGATGTCCAAGCCTCTGCTTCTAAATTATTCATTGAACGTATGAAAACGTTGTCTTTTATTAAAAGTCTTATCTGTGGGCCATCAAAAATACCACCTTTTAGTTTGTCATTACTTAAACCGGGAAACTTTCTTGAAAGATATACAAAACACGGACTAGTTTTATCTAATGCCTTAACATATTGCTTCATAAGCCCTAATTTGATGTGCAATGGAGGCAAGATAATCTTATCTCTAGCAACTAAAGGCGGGTTTATAATATTTTGTTTGCCAACCGTCATATTATTTCTCAAAGGCCAATCTTTCTTGATCCAGTGATCGTTTTTTGCTCTGCTGTCCCATAAACCTATAAAGCATGGAAATTTAGTGTACCCACTTTGTTGACCTAATAGAAAGTTGACCATTTTTAAATCGACACATATAACCCATTGATGCTCCGAGTACTTAAGTTTTTTTAAAACAAGATCCACGTTTTGATACTCCTCTTTCAATTTCGTTGAATGAGCGATAGGCACAGCTGCATGTTAGAGCTTAGAGCTGTCCATAAATAATCTTTATTATTCAGCTTTGTATCTTGAGAGCCCCAGTTTCATCAGAAGGCCACTAATGTTATTAAAATAAACTATATCATTTTCTGAGCTAAAAAATGGAAGAAATTCTTTTTCACGATCACGATAAAATGTTATTTTTGTACCTTGAGATAACAAATTTCTTTCTTTGAGTTTAGATACTAGTAACTCAGATCGCTCTTTCGAAAGGTCAAGGTCTCTAATCAAATCACTTAAAGCATATTGAGAAAAATGTGAAGGCGATGTTGATACTTCAAAATCACTGTCACGTTTATCAGAAAAAACTTCCACCATCTCTGTGTCCGACAAATCTGATAGATTTGAAAGATCTTGACTCATAGGAGATGGTACGTCATTTAAACACAGTCGAGGTCTTTTAGCAGACGGTAAATCAGGATATGTCATTTTTCTTTTGTTTGTACCATGTAATTCTACAACACAAATATAATAGTCATCAATGTGATTTTTCGGTTCTGTCCAAATCATTGGCACACTATACTTTAAATGATTACGTTTACCATTTGCCCACTGTCTTAAATGTTCACTACACAACTTGCATACGATGTTTGGAACATACGGTTTGTTCAAAGCCTTCATCTCTATATTAAAGTAGTCAACGTATGTCTTCTTCACTGAATCTGTTATAGGTTTTCTAAACTTTTTCACTACATATTCACCACAAATGTAACAAAATGTATTTGGATTATTTACACAACACCTTCTCGAAGACGGTATATCGATATTATTAATTAAAAAAAGACATTAATTGATTAAAATGACCCTAAAAATGATAAAATACATTTTTTTAGGTTATTATCGATCGATACAAACTTGAAGGTAGCTTCAAGATTTTGACAGATTCACACGACATCTTGCGGGCTAAATAACCAAATTATAACATCGAATTAGCGGCACTAAACAAAAAATTTTTTTTGTAGGCCTGTGTAATAATTGGCTAATTATTATTGTCTATTATTATTAAAAATGTCTAATGAAGCTACAACAGTTTTAGAAAAGTACAAAAAAATTTTAGACAAAAAGTAAATTGCCAATATTTTATAATGTTAATATAATTATTATTAAAAATATAATTTTGTTCCAATTGTTGTCTTTATTTTCAATAGCTTGTATTAGTTCTTAATATTTGATTATTATATTGTTAATTTGTTTTAAATTTTCTGTAACTGGCCTTTTGGAAATATTTATTATTTATTTATAAGTATTTCTTTATACCCGTTTAGATATTTTCTTGTAATTTCTAAATAAAATAATTATTATAGTACCTACCTAAATTATTTTTTATTTTTACATGTCTACCTTATCTGGGTTTTAAGTGAATTTACGTTATACCTATACATACAACCCGGTAAATTCCGAGTTTTTATTAATTGAGGTGAAATTATAAAACACATTTCTTTCAATAAAATTGTTGTCATTGTTTTTTATAATTTTTTTCTCGCTCGAGACTTTAAGCTGTGCTATTTAAAACCGATTTAATTTGATTTATTTTTATTTACCAATATTCCGTGTCGAGTTAAGAATTGACATTTGTTTTAATTAAGAAATACTTTAATTAATTCTTATTAAAATACACCGTTCTTTTGAAATTTCATTTTAGTTTATTTAAAGTTTTAACTGTTAAATAATTTATTTTTCATTCAATCGTAAATATAGTCGTATAGTTAATGTTTCCTACTGCTGAAAATTTCCGTGAACAAATCATAAATTTCATTTTAGTTTATTTAACGTTTTAACTGTTAAATAATTAATTTTTCATTCGATCGTAAATACAGTCGTATAGTTAATTTTTCCTACTACTGAAAATTTCCATGGACAAATCGTAAATTTCATTTTAGTTAATTAAAAACTTTATCAAATAAATAATTAGTCGGAACTGTTTGGGAATTGTCTAATGTTTTGATTGGTTATATTAGTAGAATTGCGACGAGACATTTTTTTTGTTTTATCCTTCGAACCGCAAATTTTAAGAGAATTTAAATAGCATCATTTCCTGTCTAAAGCGGCTCGTGATTACGATCACTTCATTAAGAGATAAGATGTTATCCCGGTTTTTAGTTTATTTTACATCTAAAACATTCATTTGCGTAAGTCTCCGTTATTTCAAGAGAACTGAAATAGTATCATTCCCCTGTCTGAAGCGGCTCGTGATTATTATCACTTCATTCAGAGGTAACGTGTTATCCCGGTTATTAGGTTATTTTACGTAAGAGTCCATTATTTTAATTAAACTTAAATAGTATTATTCCCCTGTCTGAAGCGGCTCGTGATTACGATCACTCCATTCTGAGATAATGTAGTATCCCGGTTGTTAGTTGGTTTTACTTTCCAATCACTAGTTTGAGTAAACCTCTTATAGAGTCCCAGTTTCAGCACTGGAAGTCGTATTGTCCCGAACCTGTCTCCTCGCATTCTCTGCAACCGCATATGATATTTTGCTTTGCCAAAGAATTCAATTACATTTGATTGTAAATACCGATTAGACAATTTAACAGTTAATTTTTGCTACGACCGAATTAATACTTCCGAACAAAATAGCTATATAGTTACATTTTTAGCTTAACAACCGAATAGACAGTTCAATAATAAATTTTTGCTGCAAACGTGATTACTACAAGTATTGATTTAATTTTTTTTACGTGTGATTGAGGCTATTCGGAAGTCATTTCCGGCCGTTTTGTTTGTTTATTTTGTTCAGGGTTTGTACATATTACCGTGAGGGTGGGCGTTGAAATACATTCATTTATTTATTTTTTTATTGTTGTAAATAGTTTAAAATAATATATGTGTCAATGTTAACTTGCCGTATTACTAGTTATTAATTCCTTACTTTATTTCCCCCTTATATTTTAGCTAGTGATAAATTATGTACCAGCCTAAGCAACGAATAAAGCCCGTTACTTGTGGCCTACTATTACCTGTGTCTAAGTGACCTTTGACACTTGGAATTTTTCATCTTCATCTGTAGCTACCCGAGTACTTTCGACGCCGTTTCGAGAGTTTGTGGAGTAGACCATAACCAAAAATCTGGCGCTCGAGAACCGCCCGTAACCAGCACCATTCGTAAGAAACCGTTTTTTCTGTGGCGAGAAAACCCACTACAATATATAATTAGTTGCATTGCTATCTCAGTTTCATATTTTTTATAAAAGTGCCTTCTCCATAGACTCTTGAAATATGGGTACGTAATTACCACCAATAGGTTTTTGCGAATGATTCAATATATATTGTGAAGTAATTTCACCGTTTTTAGATTGCAACAGTATTCCACCAATGCAGTTTTATGGTAAATTAGGAACTATTGCAAAAAAAGTAAGTCTAAGAGATGCAGAGGCGGCTCTAGCTCATTTTCCCGAGTCTGATATAGAAGAAGAATATGAAACAAATGAATTTCAAACTAATGGTAATGAGTCAGAAAATGAGGAAAAAGAAAGTAAAACTGATATTGTAGAATCTGAATATGAAATTGATGATGTAGATTCTGAACATGAAATTGAGAGTGAAAAAAATAAAACAATATCAATTCAACAAACTAAAGAAACTGAAGATAAAGATTATATACCATTAGCAGAACGACTATGTCGATTGCGAGAAAAAAAGAAACAAAAGGCAGTTGAGAACCTAATGTGGAAGAAAGCTCAATATTCACGGCCAAATATAGTTTTTTCTCCACCAAACCATAGTGACTGCAATTCACAGGGTGAAAATTTGAGTCCATTGATATATTTTTGTAGATACTTTCCCAACGAAATACATAAAGATTTGGCAGAGAAAACAAATATGTATTCCGTTCATAAGTCGGGCAGAAGTATCAATTCACACGAACAAGAGGTTCGCAAGCACTTCATATTGTCATGGGTGTAATCCGCTTTCCTAGATTACGGATGTATTCAGCACCTTCAATAAAAATCAATTTTTTTGACGATATTCAAATGTCACGCAACAGATTTGAAGCCTTGCGAAGTCACTTACATATTGTAGGCCTCAACCAAGAACATAATGCTAGTGATAAACTTTGTAAAGTGCGATCAGTAATAAATTGTTTTGTAAACCGATGTGAATCATTAGACCTGGAGCAAAGCCATTGTATAGACGAATCAATGATTCCTTTTAAAGGTAAAGTTTTAATAAAACAATATAATGTAAAAGGTCTTTACAAAAACATACCACATATTCCTTAGACCAAAATAAGTCGATTTAAGTAAAATTACCTCAGTACAAAGTTGCTTCGTTTGCGCTCCAGTGGGCCTTGAAATCGGTTTTCCCATATAAATTTAAAACGGCATATGCGATTTTGCTAAAATTTGGTATATTGGTAGAGTTTTATGTGGCAAAAAAAATAATATTAGAATTTTGTCTGATAATAATACATAGGCGTAGAACTTGATTTTTTAAATAATTGCACCTTTAAAAATTCTACGCCAATGAAAGAAAAGGAGTTTAAGTATGAAATTTAGATTGTGCAACTCATTTACTTTAAAAAAGGTACTGTTGATAAGACTCGATTACTCTCATGGTTTTGACGAAATTAGCATTTTAGTAATTTTAGAACATAAACAATAATTATTAAAATACAAACTTTGTTAAAACCATGAGAGTAAATCGAGTGTTATTAAGGGTACTTTTTTGTAGTAAATGAGTAACCAATGCAAATTTAATACTCAAACTGTAAGGGGTTTTCTCGCCTCAGAGAAAACGATTATTTACAAATGACGCCTGTTGACGGGACGGCTCTCGGGCGCCAGATTTTATGTGTGGTTTACTCCACAAACTTTCGAAACGGCGTCGAAAGTACTCGGGCAGCACAGATGGAGATGAAAAATTCCAGGGGTCGTTGGTCACTCAGACACAGGTAATAAGTAACCACAAGTAACGGGCTTTAATTGTGACTTGTGGTGATAAAGAATTTCTCACTGCTAAAATAAAGGGGGAAGTAAATTACGGATCAGTAACCTCAGTAACAGTCAAGGTAACGTTGACACATATATTGAATTTTAACTATTTACAATAAATAATTTGTAACTAATATTTCAACGCCCACCCTCGCTCGTATTTCTAAAACCCTGAACAAAAAGAAAAACAAACAGATCGGCTTTGATTAGTCTCAATCAGACGGTATAATTAAAATTAAAAGGAAGATGCTCGATGGCAATAGTAACTAATTAATAAATTGTCGGTTCGGTGGTCGAGCCAAAACGAAACCAAAAACAAAATTACTATTTTGGTTGAAGAAGAAAAAAAAACGGCAAATAATTACGGTCGTAGCAAAAGTTAGCTAGTTTACTGTTAAATCGGCAAAAAGATTGAAGTTAAATATTGTTTCGTAAAAGTAGAAATAAAATCACGGTCGTAGAAAAAGTTATCTGGTTAACTATCTAGTCGGTATTGAAACTGAAACAAACCTCCTTGTGCTAGTGAATAGGGAATAGATAAATGATAAGAAAACGGGATAGTATCAATCCTATGAGGAGTGCACTCGCCAGAACCAGCCCGCTCAACATAAAAATGATACTATCATTTAAATCACGGCGCGGAGGTAACTAAAAAAATAATCAAAAACCGGGTTAGTATTTAATCCTATGATGAGTGTACTCGCCAAAACCAGCCCACTCAAACAAAAAACAAAATATTAAACCGGGTCAGTATTTATCCTATGATGAGTGTACTCGCCAAAACCAGCAATCTCAAACATAAGAAAAACACTAATATTTTAATCACGGCTAGGGGCTAATCTAAAAAAAAATCTAAAACCGGGATAG